AAGAGAAAAGAGAAAAAAACAGACGAGAAGAAAGCGAAAATTAATTACTTCGTCGTTGACGCCAGGACACGGGAGCTGCGGGATCGATCGTTCCCCTGATAGGATTAAATCGCGTGCCGGCCGTTTACCTTTTTCGCGTTCCCTTTTACCCGTGTCTCGCTGATACCGACGCATCGCTCTTGTTTCTTCCGAGCCCGTTGTAAGACGACAAAGATGATTACGTCGCTCTGAAACAATCGTCCGACGAGATCTCCTCCGCCCGACGAGCCACGTCGGATGTTTTCCGCGGGAAACGGATTTATCTCGACGCTGAACCGAGTCTCTCGGAAACTAGACTCCACGCTGGGAGGGGAAATCGCTTTTGGAACAGCGCTGGCCGCAAATGGTGACGTACAGCGAGTACCATAAATACTCGTAGCCTCAGTGTTTAGAAGAAAGTTCGTCGAAATCAAGTGATACGTTTATGATTTTGCGATAAATCGTGTGTTGCAATTGTCACATTACAGAGATTACTTGTATCAAATTTTCGTAAAATTGAGCGATGAATAAAGAAAATATTTCAATTTTCATCTTCGTGTTATGTAATATCAGACCACGAAAGTATTCGTACTATATTTTAAGAAAGTCATTTGTGTTTTGTTCCCATTGTCGTTTCATTGGGTCTCTGATCATGCGATAAGTACCTAAACATTAACCATATTATTGTACAATTATATAAATTTTACTAAATGTCATTAAAGAAATTGCGTAATTAAATTGAATTCTGTGTATTCATTAATTCTGTAGCTTATATTTATTATATTTATTATATATTATATCAAAAAAATCGCAAATCATTATCACTTTATTTAACACCAATTTCTTAGTTATTTCGTCACACCACCTCGACGCTTCATTTAATCGATATCTCCAAAATCGATTTTTTCCAATTAGTCGAAATGCAACGTTTTTAATTAGCGAGACGATACAAGGGAATGTTGAAGTGGAACGCCTGTTTCGTTGTTTCAAAAGTGGTGTATCACCTTCGTTCATATTCGCTTAGAATATGAGACGCTACACGATACCGAGCGAACCGGTGACTGGTTTATCGCAATTTGCGGGACGATTTCGTCCAATTATTCTTCGGCAGTCACGTACCGAGCAATTTGTAAATTGAAGAGCGAATCTAGGGACACGCTTTGACTCTTGTAATTGCGGAATCGCGACGGGCGAGCCGGCTGCCGTTAGCCGGCTGCATCGAAAAACTCGACCTTATCGCGCTCGCCGTGACTCGTTACGGAAGCTACAATGAGAACCTTTCGTCTTGCCAATTATAGTCCGGTCGGTGTCGGCCTCTCCTCCCTCCCTTTGCCCTTTCATCTGTTTTCCGTACATCCTCGAGCCGACCGATCCACTGTCCCGGGACGCTTAAATGATAAGGGCCCCCCCCCGGTCGCCGCGCAAAGTGCTAATTACTTCCACTGAAAAGAACGCCGCTTACCCGCCCCGTAGTTTTCACGGCGAAATTACTTCTAACTTCGCGCCGGGATGGGCGTAAATCGTGGACGAGCCGCGTAAAACTGCCCCGCTCCTTTAAATAAGTCACAGTCATCTGCTCTGGGCGGCGCTGTAATACATTAAAGAAGGGCGGGCAAGAATAAAATGCACAGAGGAGCGGGGCAGAGAGAAAGTGCGAAATACGCGTAACACCATTGAAGCGCTTTCAAACGAACGGAACGGGAATGAAACAAACAGAAGTTCTTGCAACCTGATGGATGCAGCGGTCCCGTCAATACCCGCAGAACAAAGAACTGCATTCGGCCGCGTTGCACGGCGTCGCAGCGATCGTGCCCAGCGAATTAAAACCATTTTCCCTAATTCGCGGTCCGCGTAATTGATGAAACGCCGCGCAGCGGAGTGTTTGCTCGATTCCGCTGGCCAAAATTATACATCGCGGTAAATGAAATATTGTAAAAGAGCCGTGTTCGCACATCTTGGCAGCCAATATTTTTTGCATCGTTACCGGGAAACCTTACGGTATTCAATGATCAAAAAAGGACACCGGGGCTCGTTTGGAGGTCTGGAAATTTCTTTCATGAAAATTCTACTATTAGGATACATTGCAATAAATAATAGATCTTCTTTAAAATTGAAGAATTTTAGACGGAAGAAAAATAGAAAAGTGAAAATGTGGCTGAAAACTGTAATGTGTCTAAAAAGTGACTGCAAAGAAAAAATGAAGAGAAATAAAAATAGATCGTATTTTAATAGTAGACTCATATTATTTTTTATTCATATTGAATAAATATCTCGAAGTCCATCGCGTTATCTAAAAACGTATCTATCGAAGTCTTCTCTCAGTTGGAATAAAATCGATGATAATCTTACGCCGCGTGGAAAGCGTTCCAGAAAAGGTATTTTTACCGTGTAAAAGTCTGAAAATTGAGCTTGGGCCATAAGTTACCGCTTCTCGGACCATTGTGCACCGTCCGAATCGAAGCGTTAATTTTTCGAGCGGTCGCAATTGTGTCGAGCAGCTCGCAAGATTTCGGGGTTCGAGGGTGGCGGCTGGAGGGTGGAAGAGAGCTGCGTGGGGCGGGCTTTTCGTCGGTCGCGGTGTAACACAGTCGACTTCACTGATTGCCAATATGGCGGAGAGAACCGCCGCGTCCCTATATCTCGACCAGGCTTGATCCACAATGCGCCCCGGGCGTTAATTCCCCCGTGAAACGTATTGCACCCCCGCGATTCAATTGTTCCAGCTCCGCGGACACAGCGCTTCACGCTGCACCGCGACAAGGCCAACGATTCGCGTGGGCGCGCGCGCAGCTCATAATGATGCAATTTTCGGAGTGGCGAGCTTCGCGTCATCGTCATTACCCGGATACAGACCCCCCCCCCCCCCGGTCCCCTCGCTTCATCAGCATCGGTGGAACCGAACTTGAGACGAACGCGATTGTTGCGACCCACTCGTCACCCTTTGAGTTTCTCTCTTTCTCTCTCTGCCTCTCTCTCTCTCTCTCTCTCTCTCTCTCTCTCTCTCTTTCTCGTCTTTGTCCGGACTCGTTTCTTTTGCACCGCGCGTCACTCTAATTATCTCCTTTGTCACTTCACACCCGGGGATCGCGCGCCGCTCGCGGAACAGCTAATTTACTTAGTTTTTAATTATCGCTTTTTATTCGCGTTACCGAGACACCCTGTGTGTTTAATTGTATCGCCCTGCTTGCACCGGCACGCGTGGTTCCGTCTTTATGCGGCCCACAGAAACGTCGGAACGAGTGTATAAAGCTTTAGGTTTGCCTATCGTCCGTGTNTCTCTCTCTTTCTCGTCTGTCCGGACTCGTTTCTTTTGCACCGCGCGTCACTCTAATTATCTCCTTTGTCACTTCACACCCGGGGATCGCGCGCCGCTCGCGGAACAGCTAATTTACTTAGTTTTTAATTATCGCTTTTTATTCGCGTTACCGAGACACCCTGTGTGTTTAATTGTATCGCCCTGCTTGCACCGGCACGCGTGGTTCCGTCTTTATGCGGCCCACAGAAACGTCGGAACGAGTGTATAAAGCTTTAGGTTTGCCTATCGTCCGTGTGTGTCTTTTCGTTTTTTCAAAGCTGAAATTTTTTGGAGCATGTCGAATGCAAATATACCGCCAGCGGGTTATGGATACCGGGGGGATGAGACGACCGTTTCGAATTGAAATAAAGTTTCCAGATGCTTTCATTGGCAAGTAAAAAATTGTTGAGGGAAATCTGGAACAGCGAAATACGAATATAGAACGATCGAGTTACATATTAAACGTGTCAGGGGAATTGGGACGACCGTGCGTGGTCATACAGTTTTATTATGTTATTTTAAGCTATGCTGATTTAAGACAATTAAGGATTGGTATGTTGGCGGTTTATTCTTACTTTCATATATCGTTTGGTTGGCTAAAACCGTTGATACGAACTTGAAATATTCGTGTAACAATCTCTTTTATAAACCTGAATTTTTGATCTCGTCTGATCGTACTCGTTAATTTATCCGATCTTTTATTAAATTTGGATTTTTTCTATGGTTTTTGAGCACCTACAGACTCAATTATTCGGAAATAATGATTAGGTTGCGTATTCGATGCAGTTTTTACAGGAACGACTATGTCAAATGCAAAACTCTAAAGGCACTCGAAAAATTTGAGAAGATTTTTACATTGTGCACATCTTATTGAAATGATCGGAAGAGAAAAGACGTTTCCACCTAATTTATGTTTCTTACAGTTAACTTGGACAATTTTTATTTTGCATAAAGACTCGAATTCTAATAATGTCGTTAACTTGAACAATTTTTATTTCGCATAAAGATTCGCAGTCCAATAACGTTTCTTACAATTAACCTCGGCAGTTTTTATTTCGCATTAAGATCCGCAGACTCAATTCCACTGCGATCTATAATTTGTGAACATACGATCCAGAGAGCCACGATCCATACGATCCACTACTAAATTACATGTCAGTAGATATCAGGGAAACGAGACGACCATGGTCGGACCACTCGTCCACTCTCGGCGTTACGAAATCAAAGAATGCGATTGTCTCGCACTGGGTATAAGTTTCGATTGCGCAAGAACTCTACCGACAAAATGGCTGTACGTTCTCACGGAAGCGGAAGTAGAGTTTTTTTTGACTGGTCGTAAAACGGCTGCTTTTATTTCTCAATCGATGGCTGAGGTAACGAGGCTCGACAATGCTAGAGAAGCGGTCGGCAAGCAGCGATTTAGTTCCGTCACGAGGACCACTGCGAGCCCCGCTGCCGAGCTTATTTCGTTGCATCGATTATTCAAGGCTCTACGTCACTTTCGTGGAAACGTTTTATCTCGATAATGGCAGCTAACCATCTATCCGAAGGTTGCTAACCCCGCGTGTTGCACAACACGGTCGATACTGGAACACGTAACTGAAATAAGAGACCGCCGGCATCCGATGACGAGAATCGTTGCAAATTCTCTTCTAATACGGGCTCCCATTATCTTGCATGATTGCAGGTGAGCCTGGGTAAGCATGTCTCCGTTGGAGAGGAAGTCCGGTACAAGCCGGACCCCGAAGATTCCGGGAAAACATTGTTGACGCAGCAGGCTGTCATCTCCATCTCGGGTGTGCCACTGATCGACCAGCTGGAGAGGCTACTCACCATGACCATCGAGCAAAACGCCAAGAAGGTCAGTGACTTTATTATCTAACTGTGTGAGGTTGTTACATTCGATTTATTACATTATATTAATCCCTTGCCATACTTCGACGAGTCTGACTCGCGATGGAGATTTCTAATAATAACCTGTTAAGTATGGACGTTATTTAGTTTTTTTTATGTTGGAATAAATTTACCACAGAAGTGACCAAACAAAATTGAGGAGACTGTTCGAGTTCCTCTCATGATTTTTGAACCTTGATTTCTATATCGTAAAATCTGATTCGCGATGGAGATTCCTAATAATAATCTGTTAAGTATGAACGTCATTCTATATTTTTATGTTGGAATAAATTTATCACAGAAGTGACCAAGCAAAATTGAGGAGATAAATTTTCTATATCGTAAAATTGATGAAGATAATTTTTATCTTGCATGTAGATCTGCAGTACATCCATTAAAACGAATAAAATTCGCGATCTTTCTCTTCGATTTTCATCGGCTAAAATTTGTTGCAGAAGAAACTTTTTTTTATTAGATTTTCAGAATCTTCTCGAGCCGGTCTTTCATTGATTAGAATTTCAGAATTAATTCGATTTTTGAAGATTGAATGAATTAGGATTTGTGCGACCGTCGTTGTCTAGTTGAGAAGATATAAATGTTGAAGTTCCAGAAACTGATTCGATATTTTAGGTTTTAGATGCACTAGGATTCGTTCGATTCTCGTTGTCTAAAATTTATCGAACGGATGCAAATGTCGCAGTTCCTAAAAACTTATGATATATATTCTATTTGTCCGTAAAATATGAAATGGCAACGTTGTTTGCTCGAATATACCACGAAACTTCGAATTTAAATGTCTCATCAAATCTGTTAAGACACATATACTTTTTGAGTCTGTATTTCACTGAATCATGTACGGTCTACGCAACTGTGTTAATCGCTTACACGAAATTTTATACACCTACTAAATTTCTACGTAAACAACACAAAAGAGACTTTTCGTCCACAAATAACTAAATCAAATGAAATGGAATCAATTCGACTCTGGAAGCATACATGAACGGACTGGAACTCGCGCGGTTTTCATGCCGAAAGGATGTCCAAGGTGTGAATGCGAGCATGAAGCGTGAAACGTCAGTTTCATCGGGTGGCCATCGCTTACATATATTTTATGAAACACTCGCCGTTAAGGGGCGCCGGTATGATCGATCACGGAGGATTTGGAGCCGGGTAGTTTCATAAAAGCTAGCGAATTACCGTGAAGTCGCGGCATCCACAGGTGCCGGGTAAAGTTCGCGAGAGTAACAAAGTGTTTCTGCGCAATTGGCTTTCAGGGGCGGCAGGCGATGGAATGGGTGATCGAGAAGATCCAGTCGGACGTGAAAGACATCGCGTCTTCGGCCGTGAAGTCGACGGACGATCTGCTGAACCAGACGCGCCGGCAGATCGACGACATCACGAACATTACGAAGCGAGGGATGGACGACCTGCAGAACGCCGCTAAGAAATCCTTGGACGACCTGCAGAACCTGACGGTGCCACCGCCGACGCAGTCCATACCGAAATTATAGCTAATGTTTCACGTTAGCTTCGATCTCTTTAACTAAACGCCGCGTAGAACCCTTAGATGGAACGATTCGACTTCTCGGACCGAAGATTCTCGAAACAGAAAAAAAAGAGGAATCGAGTAACGCGCTTGCAACATCCACATTGTACCAGCCATTTAACATGTTACTCCATGAAACATTCCTATCGGGATCGGCTGCGCAGGGAGCAAACCGTTCGGTCATTCGTACAAATATTCGGCGCGTCTCCAAACGCTCGTGGAGCAGTCAAATATGTTATCGTCAGGACTTCGCGAAGAACAGAAACTGAATATTCGAAGAGTAAACGGTGCAGAGCGGCCGATCGTTCCGCAGGTGCTGCTTTAGCGAAAGAGATGCGTTAGCTGCGGGCGGATAATTAACTCGATTTAGCCGATTTTCAAAGATACCGCGTTTACCCGGTGGATGGGCAAACGTTTTGATAAGAGTGAACCACGAATCTGCGCCAGTACAGTATTTGTATGATGATGTGTGTAGGTTACCCTCGTCTGCTGGATTCAACAGCCCGGCGCTCTCGGGTTCCCGGGCCCTCGCACTATTCCTATGCTGCACCTATCGAATAACCGAACGCGATGTACGCATCGAAAGGAATCTTTCGATCGCACGGCGTTCGATGTTCACCTTGCTCCCTTCCCTGTGTTATTAGAAGCTTACGTTGCCCGTCCCTATGTCTGATCTTGGAGCCTCGGGTTACCATATTTAACCCGTTAAGCAGAGGTCGACACATATTAACGTTGTATCCCTCGATCATTCTCACGCGCGGCTTCCTAGCGGTAGTCAAAGTATCCTTAGCGCATTAAAGGCGGCATTGTTTCTGAAGCAAGGCCGGAAATTTTAGAAAAATGCAGACAATAAATTGTTAACCGTCTCGTGATGTACGTTCAGCGCACCTTTTGTGACGTCGATTAGCATATCCAAGTTTAAATCCGGCTTAACTCGTCTACGTGCGCTCTCAGGAAAACTGTAAATAAATGCAAAATTACACGATCAAATATAGGTTAATGTTTGATATATGTTCACGAAACTCTACCTTTGTTCCTGTCATCCTGTTCACTGGGTGGAATCGTCTTAACCCTTTACGGACGCGTGTCGGCACATAGTGTTTGTGGTAAATATTCGAACTCCTTTTCGAACGCAAGAACTTCTTTAAAGTTGGATCAAATGACACGCGTTTTGTTGGAAGACTAATCTTCAACTTTCTGCAAGAATGCCAATTTGTTGAAATAACAAGAAACGATTGCTTTACCGTAAAACTACAGTCGTGAGACACTTCTCTGTGCATTTATAGTCGTGGAAATATGAGAATTTTATGTTCTTGTATACACGATGATTAAAAGGTACACAGAAAGTATCACTATACATGTATAATACAGTGGAACTTTGATTATGCGGGCTAAGCAGAGCGACATAAATGTCCAGATAATACAACAGTTATTTAGTTAACGTGCCAGATGTCATCTGTATTGATTTGTAGAATAAATCGTTTTCTGTATGATCCGTCTTTGATTGAGCTGATTACAAGTAAAATGTATTTAAATAACAGCTGATTCTGATATCGGAGAACCGACTAATCGGCTACGGTACCAGTAATAATAACAGTAACAGTGGTATCATTATAGCTATCACAATATGAGTAACTATCAGTAATATTAATATGATATGCCATTATTCATATATTCTTTCCTAAGCAAGAGCATATTCTCCGCATATGCTAACATTTTCAGCTTTTATAGCACACACATTAGAAAATGCTTTTACAGATAATTCTATCCGCAAAGGGTTAAATGCGACGAGCAACTCCGTTGTTCCACGATCTCGTGGAACAGCTCTGAAAGTCACAGATACCATTCCTCATCCGACCAGTCGATGATTCAAATGTTGATCTTCTTTTCGAGAAACCTCTGCCATCAAATCCGAGGTGTTTTCTTCCCCGTCTAAAAGCCTTCCCATCAAGTATCCCCTTCAAGGTGCGTCTCTGATTCCTAATTTTCTGAATTTCCATACTGCCTAACTCCGTTCCCAAGTGCCAGCAGCGGCTGGCGGCGATTCGGTCGCGTTTAAAACTGGCCGGGAGCCGGGCACTCGCGCGGGACAAGAAAATCCCCGGCAGAATCGTCAGGAAACGTAGCCCCAGGTGGCCGGCCGATACTCGTATCATTTGAAATCGTTGCGCCGCGAAATATCCCGGCGGTTCCTCCCAGTGATCCGGCAATTCCCATAGGAGGAGGAGGAGGATATTCGCGCGAGTCAGCGAGTGGTTCCGCGCGTCGAGTAGAGTAGCCGACGCTCGTAGGATAGGGGCGCGTTCGGTATCGATTCGGCGATGGAGAACCGGTCTTAACATTCCGGCCGAGCAATTTCGAAGCGGAGCGGAATTTCGACCGGGTCATTATTGTTCTCGGCGGTCCAGAGACAATTTCCATCGGTTTACTCAAATCTGGCTGGTCGACACTCTCGAGGTAAGTAGAAAGAGACAATGGAGGGGCGCGGAGGGAGGGCAGAGCTGTGGCCGCTTCGGGTCGACCAAGTCGACGCTGGGCAAGAGGGGAACTGACGAAATTTGACATCCGGCTCTGCCAGTGGTATGTAAGAGATAATTGATGACGTTACGGTTCATCGCTTGCTACTCGGTTACCGGACACGGGCAAATATTGACAGCTTCCGATCACAGAGCGGCCGGGGTATCCTTTGTAGGTAGCTCACGCGCGCCGACCTCGATGTCTGCTCGGTTTTCCTGTCGAATCGGCGCGCTTAGTCCCCCTGCACGTTAGTAAATCAACGTTCACCGGTTGGACGTGCATGTCGAGCAAGTTTCGTAAATTAAAGTGGCCTCGTTGGTCCCGATAAAGCCTCCGGCCGGCACGGCCCGGCCCGGCCCGAGCCCGCTATTGGCCGCACGTGACGCGGCCGCTCCGCTTTGAGGACAAAGCGCCGGTTTTCCCCGCCGCGCGACACTTTTATTGCCCGGGCCAACCCCGCATCTTCACAAGGGACGAATTACGGAGGGAAACTTGGGGACTCTATCGCTCCCGCGGTAGCTTTCGAGGACCTTCGACCTCGTGCCCAAATGCTGGGCTACACAGATGACCAAGCTTCGGCTTAAGCATAGTTTCGGGGGACATCGATATTCCCACTGCATTGTTCATCTTTAATTGTCCGTGCGGTTCTCACTTCGGTATTTCGAAGATGCCTTCAAAGACGAGACCGCTCCTGCAAATCGGTTCGTAACAAGCTTCGCAAAATTCGATTCGGTAGCTTCCCTACCTTGCGGCCGGACGGCCGACCGTTTGCGGTCGCACAAAGGAACGACCGCCATTGGTCTGTTAATTTTACTCGTTCCAGTTACCGCTGCGGTCCTGCACTATCGATAATTAATTTAAGCCTCTTCGAAGCCTCCGTCTCGCGGTTCTACCGGCCTCGCGGACGTATTTTTCAGTTCGAGCCTGGCAATCTTTCCTTCGGAGATACGTACTGTGTTTCATCTTTCAAGTTGTGCTTTATCTTGCTGACGTTTAAATGGAACGGGGAACTGCAAAATGAATCCTTAAGCATCGTTAATCATTCCGGCTTAAAGTTTCCAGCGAATTCTTTAACATAGATCAAACTTGAATAGGTCTTCTGTCAAGAACCCCAGCACTAGAAGAATATCGTGTCAGGCTTGCTACGAACATTTCGAACGTAATCTACTAGATACGAATATTATTCGCTTCTTCAACCTGTTAAGCGAGGGATTAAATTTCGTTCAACTCGTTTCGCAATATTTCTTTCTTCGCAGTGAGAAGTTACATTGTCACGCTTTTAAGGTGATGAAAAAAGATCGCTTTCTCACTTGTCGATTATTTATTTTGACAACGGATTTTATGATATATTTAGGAAATATATAAATGAAATATTTCCAACGTACTTAACCCTTTAAATGTTTACATTTGTTTTAAGATCGCTTTGCGCACGTATGCATATTTTCTTTTCATATTTGTCTTAAAGTATTCGAAACTGTGTTACAACTACAAATATATTTTTACCTAAATGTTGCTTATACAGCAAATTTTTTTCGTGACCAGTGTAGTCTAGATAAAGATCGGAAGGGTTAATGCAGACATCCAATGAATACTTTCCATCTATTAAATTGCTAACTACATCGCAGCGCTAATCAACGCGGCTGTTACGAAATTGTAGTGCAAGCGTTTAATTAACTAATTCGTAATTTTCCCCGGCATAGTTCCCAACCTCTATCGTCTAAATCGAGTATACTGTAAAAATAGCTCTTTGAAATTTGAGACTGGCCGATCGAAATTGGGCGAGACCCGTTCTCGCGAAAGAAATACGATTTTCAAGGCCGTGCCCGCCTACTCGATTTTCCATCCCCTTGGCTCCGGTTTCGTAAGAAAAGGAGAGTTTCAAAGGCCGGGCGTAGCCGTCGAAGAGGCTCATGGTTTACACATCGCGGCGGTATTCTCTCGTCAAGACCGTAAAAGCTCTCGGGACGATCGACTCTAAAAGTCGGCGACACGGTCAAGTAGATTCTTCTCGGTCTTCCGGTTCTCAATTCACGACCTCGTGAAAGACCACCCTCCACGCTCGTGGCTACTGTCTTGTCTCTCCACCCACCGGCTCCTCCTTTCGGGTTGGAGCCCCGGCGTCCTTCGAATTCAGGAGAGGATCGCAAACTCCGCTCGCGGATATCTAAATGTTTTGTTCGGGGCAATAAATTCAGCCGCTTAGCTTTTTCGGCCTCCCCGGACGACTCGAGCGTCTGCTTGGAAATCTAAGTGGCCCTTCCGCGGAGTACGTTCCAGTCCTCGAATTTTTCCGAGTTTCCAGCTCACCGGAAACTAAATTAATTGTTCGAATAAACGAAACGCGTTCCCTCCCGTGCGCCGGCGAAAATATTTTTTGCTTAATTAATGCTCCGGCCGCTGATTTGCCTCGTTCAACCCGGCCCGGAAATCGCGTGCTATTGTGCCGAACATTGTTCAACATCTTTTGTTTTTCTCGCGGACCCTTCAAACTTCATTTATTTCGCATGGATGCAATTTCCCGATAATTCGAAACCCGTCGGTACCAATTAAAAATATTAGCTCGGCGCATGTGTGTTTACACGCATTTTTCAATACTTCAAATAGTTCGCTAAAAGTGCATTTTCATACCTCGGAATCGGAAAGGGTTGCAGGAAGATCTACGCCGGATCCGTCCAATGAGTGGTCATCTCTCAGTGGCTGAATATTTTTCGTATTGTATGAACAAATAACGTTTGTCCTATCCCCATCGGATTAGAATGTATACAGTAGCTCCATTAGGTACACGCCTAGAGATGTTGTTAAGACATTAATGTAGCAGTTTCACTGAAATCGATAAAAGTTATTTGTTCGCGCTATAAATGTGCGTTTTATATCAATATTATGCAGTTCAAACAATGCAGTACCTGGTGTAACAAATAATGCGGTTTGTCGTACGCACTCGTATAAATTTTACTCCTCGACAACAGTTGTTGAAACAACACACGTTTCAAGTAATAAACAAATTTGATAACGTTGAAATTATGTTGGAACGTGATAAAACAATCTTTTTTTAGCGGAGCCTGCTCTCCAGTGCAAATGATTAATTAATCGTCTGCCGTATCCCGGAGCAAAAATGATTGTTCCTTTAAAGTCGAAGTAAGATTCGCAGTCCGGGTTAGGTAAATGTATAAAGTTTGAAACCCCGTTCACGGATTAAGCCGGCCGGTTGATGAATGCGCGTGGCGTATTAGGCGAAAGTAGAGTATAAGCTTGGGGTGCGTAAAGACGGAACGGCGTACCTCAAGGCGTTATAAAAGAAAGATGGGATATAGAAGGTTATGCACTTTCGCCGGGGCGAAAGGTGCTCACGGCGGAGTTGATCATACAGAATTAGATCGTGTCAACGTCGTATCACGGAAAGTTTACGGCGTCGGAACAGTGAACGTGCACGGGGTATACGTGCTGTAACGCAGCTACGTAGGTAATAACGGTGGATGTTGAGCTGTTTGGGG